CTTCACCAACCAGTACGCGCAGCGATATTCGGGGGCCGCCGTCGAATCTCCACGGGCCCAATTCTCTTGCGAGCGGACTTGCCGCCTGCCGACGCACCAGACAAAGGGCGCGCACTTGCCAAATTCTGAAGTCGACGATGTCGACGATCGTGGGGTCCCTGGTCCCGAGGCGGCTAGTGTCTCTCTACTAGTGCCTTGCCTCGCCTGGAGCTGTCGGTTGTGCTCCTGGCGCCTGGTATGCGTGCTAGCCCGAGGAATCGTCCCATGTAACATTTCCTGGCCAGCGTCTCCGCCGGTTTGTGCGTTGCTTGAAGCATGCGCGAGATCGCTGCTTGCGCGGCTTTGTCGGTGGCGACGCGGGCAAGCTCTCCCTTGTGCTCTGCGTAGATGCAAATGTTGTCGGCTGTGTTACCTCGTCGACATACAATACTGGCATCCGTGCTTCCCTCGCGGTCTCCAACGCATTTGTCGTTTTCAACGCAGTGTGCAAGACACATAGTGTTTCTCACTCCTCTGCGGAATCCAGGATCGTTGCTCCAGATGCAGTTTGATGATTGGAAGGATTGCCATTGCTGGCGTTCTCGCTGCGCGTGGGCAGACAGGTGTCAGACCACTGACCTAGCCTGTCTTGCTCACTGTGGTGGTTGTCTACGATGGCCCCCGCGCGTGCCCGAAGCTTTGCCCGTGCGCGAAAACCGAGCCCCCCCAACCGAAAAACATTTGCTATTTTGGGCCTCTTCGCCCGGGTCTCCTTCTTTGCCCCGTTCTCTGACGGTTCCGCGCCGAGATCATATGCTTTGTGCGCCCGTCGAGGCCCCGGAGCCCGCGGGGCAACCCCCAGTGCAGTTCATCGCCGCCCAGGACAATGAGGCTGTCATGAAACTAGAACGGGCGGGCCGTGCAGCGGGCCCTATGCATATTCGCAGGGCGCGCTGGATCAACCTCGATTGGATCGCGGAAGCATGCCGACGCGAATTGGCACGCCTTCAGCATGCGAGTGCAGAAAGATCATGTGGATAGCATGGTGACAGAACACTTTGACGTTAGGAAGCAAGCCCCCATGGGGTTCCCTTTTGGATTTTGCCCAATGGGCTCGCGCATTGCCCCCCCCCCCCCCCCGCGCTTCCTCGCCGGTCTGGTGGCGCCGGCCCCATTCCGCAGAGCCGCCGAAGCTCCGTGGGCGCAAGGGCCGGTGCCAGATCCCGTTAAACAGGCGAAGAGTCGGGGGGGGATTCGGGCCTTGAGCGTGGTTGCCTGCTTGTAGGGAGAAGGAACCGCGGCGGGATGCGCGCGTGCACGTACCATTGCGGTGTCCCTGCCGGCACTTCTGGTGCATCGCACCCCCAGAGATGTCCGACTCGTTCCCGCGCCGTCCTTGCCCGAGATGTCCCCTATGTCGAGTCAATTGTTATCCGTGTCTGTTAGGACTCCGGGATCCAGTTTGCTGACCGTGAGACTCGCGTGCAACTCGATCGCCCCCCCGAGATTGTGACCCCTCTTGTCAGGTGCCGCCCTGTCAGGTCCGTGAGAGTGAGTGCGCAGGGAACGCCCCGCGCCCGCGCGACCCCGTGCCGACCCCGTGCGAGGTGGAGTCCGCGTCTATCGCGCAGGTGCGCCCTGTCTTGGGCCGCAGCTTCGCAGTGCGCTTTAAAGACTGCCCCGACGGCAGTGGCGCGTTTCAGCTGCGTGCATCTCGCGATGATAGTATTGCTTCGTTGCTTCTGGAGAGCCGAGGTCTCGACGTGCCGACAGGTGTGGGCCCTGGCGAGGCCGCGCCGTGGCTTGTCTGCGTGGCTGCGCTCGGCAGTTCCGCTGGCTCTGTTGTTCGGGATGCCATCGCGCGAGAACGCGTTTGCGCGCTGCCGCCGCTCTTTGATGCCAACGCGCGCCGCTCTAAGTGACGATGTCGCGCGAGAGACGCGCCGGATCTGGTGCTCGTACATGACTCTGGGCAACATTGTCGGCGCCGTCGGTTGGCGCGCCCTGCGAGAAGTGCACCCTCGGTTTGTCGGCGCCCCGACCGACTCTGGGGGCAGGCGCTGTGGTCTCGAGATCTTTCGCAGCGTTCGCCACCAAGGAACTCTTTCGCTTGTTCAGCGAGGGGGGCGGTTGGCACCAGATATGCGGGGGGATTTCGGCCATGCATTCGACGCGCCCACGGGCCCGAATTTGCTGCGTCATCTTTCGCCGCGCTTGCGCCGACTCTGCCCCGCGCGCGGGGTCTTTGAGCAGGCGGCGCCGAGCGCCGCGGACTTGTGGGGGGGGGGGGGCTGGTTGCCTGCGCTATGCGGAATGAGATTGGCGCGCGATTCGAGCGCGCCTCTCATCCCGCGCACTGTTGCCAGCAGCGCGTGCGAGGGGCAACCCTTGCAGTGTTGGCTTCGGATTATATCGCGACATCAAATCAGGATGGGCCTGCTCATGCCAGCCGAACTACTTCGAAGACATGAGCGCCCGCCCCGGCATGGGCCCACCCTTGTTTTCGGAGCATTCAGACAAGCCCGTAGGTTGCAATTGCGACTGCGAGATGCTTATCCTCAGGGCGACCTCCATGACCGCGAGATGTACATCGGCATCAGGACAAGAATTACAGGCGCTTCCCCGATTGCGCGCGCATTCTGGCTGGGCCGGAGTCAGGGCCGCAGAGTTTTTTTTCTGCCACGCGAAAGACAACGCAGACAAGCGAGACAGCTATGGCTAGTCGGACGACGTACTATTGTAAACATGGCGAGATACTTGGTCGCGTCAAAAACAGGCATTCTGCCAGCGACAGGGCAGTGCTACCACCTAGTGGTGCAGCGACGACATTATTTGTTATGGGGAACAGGTGAACATCTGGCTAGTTCCGACGCTTGGAAGTTCATGGGCGGCTGCGTGGTTGCTTGCCCCAGGCGTTGGTGGGCAATGACAAGGGGGGTCGTCGACGAGATCATGCCGCGAGAGACGGTCGACCTCGCCAGGTTCTTGGACGTGATGAACTTTCGCCATCGTCCGACCGTGATCGGCCCCGGCAGAGCACGCAATTTCGGCGTCAACGACAATTTCGCTGCACGCTCGAACTACGTCATCGCAGAGATGGAACCGCGAATCTTGATGGTCATGCTGACAGACGCGTGGATCGACCAGATGGAAAGTCGCGACCGCAATTGATACGTCAAAAAGATTGTTGCGTGGAGTTGAGATCGCCGTTTTGCCATGCATGGATGTTCAAACATGTGGCGAGCGTGATTGCGTCCTTGCTTTCCCGATCACATTTTCGGGCAGCCCGCAGTCGAAACCCATTTCTGGGGAAAATGGTTGGGCCGTCGCGTCGAGGTTCTTCGGCGCCTACCAGACCCGCATGCGGCAGTTTTTTTTTCTGGACAGCAAACTTGTTTTTGCTGACCGACCAGCAGAATAAACACGAGCTCATAATCGTGATTTGGTTAAGGACGCAGTGCCGGACGAGCGCTCTTCCTGACCGCTTGCGGGAGGGAGTGCTTGCGGGCGCGTCAGGTGCCGCTGCGGCTGTTGTTCCAGTTGGCCAGACCCGTGTCCGAGGGCTCCAGTTTCCACGGGCGCAGTTGCGCGCGTTCAGAGCGTTAATCTCGGCTCTGCCATCCTCTGCGGCAGCATCTACGACCGCGGTCCAACGACCGCGCCTCCCATTCTTCAACTTGCACTACAGTGGCGATGGGAGTGCTACATGCGTGCAGGCACCTCCTGATGGAAGCCATCCTGTCCCGAGTCTTCAATCTGAGGTCGCCGCCCAGGACATCACGCGCGCGGGCGCGCGCAATCAGACGCTCTCCACCTTTGAGCGCTAGATAAAACGTCTTTCATCGAGACTCCACAGGACATGGATGCACGAGCGAGGCGATTTTTTCATATTTTTGATCGCGCGGATACATGGTCTACCCGACGTGCCGCCGCAGCCATGGCGTACAATGATTACTAACGCCGAGTTGATTCTTCCACCGTAGCATGGTCGCAATGCGGAGTCCCGCGTGCTGTGCATCAACGTCAAGCTCGAGGAGATCCCTACCGCCATCGTCGAGGTCAACCGAGACATCTAGACGTTCTCGCGGGTGCCGCGTCCTGTCCAGGCAGCTGCGCAGCCACGGGGTACTCCGTTGTCGTACCTGCCAGCCTGCGGGAGGGAAATCCCGCGACCGACTCAGGCGTTGTCTCAGAGTCGATTCCAGCCCCAGCACTGGTGACCATTGAGCCCCTTCCGCCTTCGCCACTCGTGCGCATCATGACGATGGGCGCGCCTGCTTTCAAGGCCAGGGCGGCTCCGCCAGCAGAGGAACTTTCACCTGTCCATTTCAACGCCGAATAGCAGCCAGGCCCGAGTCCGTCGTATATTGCGCCCACGGCCAAACCAGTCCTGGTTCCGAGCCAACCTTGGACTCCCTCGTCCATGGGTGCTTTCAGCCCGCCGCCGCAGCTGCTGCCGCTTCTCAGCCAATTCCTGCTGCCCCAGCTCCCGCCGTGTGGGGGCCTGACCACGTGCATAATGAAACTCCAGTTCCGCCGCCTCAGCGCCTGCGGAAGGGAAGGCCCTGCCGCGCTGCGGTCGCCCGAATTGGCATCGTATTCTTGCTCCCAAACTTTGGGCAATGGCCCGCCGCCCGCGGTTATGAGTGGAGGCTACATTGTCGCGGCAACACGCAAGAGCCACAGCTGCAGGTGGCGTCCACAGCGGCCGATGCGTTCCAGCCGAAGCGCCTCGACTAGCGCCCTCAAGGACACCCTCCATGGCCCAATCATTAAACAGCAACGGGCGCTCGTATGCGTGACGGTATGCGTGCCGCATCCCGATGCACAGATCGAGTGGTGGGTGAACATCTGGAATGCCAAGCCCAACAACTCGCAGCGCGGCGTCCACCTTCGCTACCAGCTTGTGGTGCAGCGGCGCGGCTCGGACCATTCCGAGTGCAGCGGGGGCGGAGGCGATGTCAGTCGCTTTCCCGCAGGCGCCTGAATCACTCGCCGATGACGCCCATCACGACGTTGCCATGGTCGATCTCGGCGTCTTCGAGAACATCGCAGGACTCGAGTTTCAAGACGAGGCAGAGACCGACATCGCGCCGGAGGACGACGCGCCAATGCCTGCGGCTGACAAGGGTTCCAGCTCCGACGAGTTCGTGAGGGCCAGCTTCGCTCGGGCGGCTGCCGCCGCAGCCGCGGCTGCACTGGCTTCCATGCCTGAATCGAGCCCGACAGATTGCCGCTTCCGACCGAGATCATGTGCCCTGTCTTAATGTTTTTGTACCCAGTGATGATGTTGATCTGCCTCCGCGGGGACACGTCAAACCGTTTGCCAGAGACCTGCTAAAAGCAGATTCACCATTTTCTAGCTTACGATATGTTTAACGATCTAGAATGGCAGACTCTGGACGCAGACTTCGGACAACATGGCCGCCGTTGACGGCGAGGGCGAGCGCGAGATCGGCATCACCCAGTCCTTCATGTACAGGCATACCAACATTTACAATCTGGTGGACGGCAAGCGCCTACAGAACATGCGCTACACATGGATCTTGGACCTGGACGAATCCGCGAGCTCGACTGTCGTCTTGAATTGCGATTTGCTGAACCAGCGGGTGCATAAACGCCCAGACAATCGTGGCTTTGAACGAATCTCCCAGGTCATTTTCCGCTGCCGGGTGTATCTTGATGGTTTGCTTCCAAATCGGCCGTGCTCCAGGAGATAACCAAGTCCGGCTTCAGCAACAACGGGTCGACGCTGAAGCAGCATCCAGGACTCTCTCGCAGCAATGACGCTTTCCAGCTGTCAATGGAGAATGTTAGAGCACGCGTAGTTCCTACCCCCCAAAAAAAACACCCGTGGCGTCGCCGCGGCGGGAGGGAACTTCCGCAGCGGATGATGGTAATTCCCCGAGGGGCCCTGAGGCTCCCATTGGGGACCAATCTGGGGCTCCTTCTGCCGCTAATCCAGGAACGACATTGTTTCCGATCTCGCAGGTCCAGTTCGACGGGCTCCAGTCCAGGACGGGTCCAACGTCTGGTGAGGCCAGCTTCACGACCAGCTTGGCGAGCTTGTGCGAGTTCTTCCAGCGTCCAGCTTTGACGCTGGAGGGTCTTGTGCAACATGGATCGGGACCTGACACCTATCCGGCAGCCAGCCAGAGGCTTCAAACTCAATGGGATTGTCTTCAGATGCGATCGATTCCAGGTATCATGCACGTCGTTGGGGTTGATAGTATGAAAGCATCCCACTCGAATGGGGACGCGGTTGATCTCGATGGACGTGCTCATTTTGAATGCTGTGCCCAGGCCTACAAGGGTGACAGTTGCTCCACGACTCTGCCACCCCGGCAGGCTGCACGGGAGGCTGTTCCTGGGAGTATCCACTTTACTTCTTGTCGAGCACGAGCTGCCGCTCCGTGCACTCTCAGCATCTGTTGCGAAGGCCTTGCGGGGAGGTCTCGCCTTCGAAGGCGGGGCCTCCCCCGGGTCCCCCGCTGGAGAACCCCCGCGCGACCCTCCGGGACCTCAGGTTGGGTGGTATTCTGACCCGGCCAACCCCCCCACCACATGCGGGACCTTTTTCATGAGGGGAAAAAACACACAGACACAATTAATCGTCGATTCCCCAGAAAATATGGAAAAATATGGGAAGTGGGCGGGAAAACAGAAACCCAGAAAATATGGGAAAATATGGGGAATCTTTTTATTTGTGTGTGTTTATTTGTGTCCTGGGGCCCCTTCACTTTTCTGGGACCCCTGCTGTCGACCCCCGCCAGGCTTCGCCCGAACCCCAGGGGGGGAAGGGGTCGGTATTCTTACTCGGGACCCCCCCCACAGGCGGGACCTCCCCCGGGACACCCGCTGGCGACTCCCCCTGGCCCCGTTGGGACCCTGGGGGGGGGAAGCAGTGTTGCAGACCCGGGACATCCGTTTCCCACCACAAGCGGGGTCTACCCTGGGACCCCCGCTGGCGAACGCACCCGGGACCTGCCGGGAACCCCAGAGGGGGTGGGGGGCGGCTTTCTGATTCAGGACCGCCCCTTCCTTTGCCCCACCCCTCCCCCACCACCAGGGACGGGAAAACGGGAAGGGAGTCATTTTATCATCCTGTGGTGTTGGGTCTTCGTTTTCAAGAGGCGGTCCCCGCGTTCCTCTCCTCTCCTCCTCTCCTCCCCCTCCTCCCTCCTCCCTCCTCCTACTCCTCCTCCTCCTCGCAGTTCCTGTGCATGTCTCTATGTTTACAGGAGGCCATGGCCTCACCCACCTGGTCTGAGCAGGCCCGGACAGCTGTCCGATGTGGTGGTTCGTTCGTTCGTTCGTTCCTCCTCCTCCTCCTCCTCCTCCTTCTCCTCCTCCTCCTTCCCACCGTCGCCCCCCTCATTTTGGCACACCCCTCAAACGCTTCGTGGTAGCGCCGCCGAAGGCCCCAGTGCCACCACCAGCATGCGTCACGCACACCCATTTCGGCACACCCCTTACACGTTTCGTGGCCCACAGGGATTTCCACCGAAGGCGCCAGTGCCACCGCCTGCATGCGTCACGCACACCCACTTCGTCACACCCCTCACACGTTTCGTGGCCCCGCAGGGAGCTCCACCGAAGCGCCAGTGCCACCGCCCGCATGCGTCACGCACCCCCATTTCGTCACACCCCTTACACGTTTCGTGGCCCCGCAGGGAGCTCCACCGAAGGCCCCAGTGCCACCGCCTGCATGCGGCGTCACGTGCACCCATTTCGGCACGCCCCTCACACGTTTCGTGGCCCCATAGGGAGCTCCACCGAAGGCCCCAGTGCCACCGCCGCATGCGTCACGCACACCCATTTCGGCACACCCTTCGCACGTTTCGTGGCCCCACAGGGAGCTCCACCGAAGGCGCCAGTGGCTGCGTTCGCATGCGCCCACCGCACCAATTTTGGCACACCCCTCACACGTTTCGCGGCAATGTAGGGAGCTCCACCGACGGCCCCAATGGCTGCGTTCGCAGGCTCCCACCGCACCTATTTCGGCACACCTGTCACACGTTTCGTGGCCCCATATGGAATTCCACCGACGGCCGCTGTGGCTGCTTTCGCATGCGCCCACCAGACGAATTTCGGCACACCCCTTACACGTTTCGTGGCCCTATGGGGAGCTCATCCGACTGCGGTGCACACAACGACGTTTGGGTCCTTCGCCAGGCTAATTGTTGTTTCAATTTCCTTGGGACTGGCGACGACGACGATGACGACGACGACGACGAAGACGAAGACGAGGACCACGATGACGACGACAACGTCTTTCACACGCCGAAAGGTCGGCGGGCTTGCCACCTCCTGTTAGACCTCGTCTGTTATTTCTCACCCGAGTCCTCGTGTTCGCTCGGAATTCCGCTGGCCGAGGAGGAGGAGGAGGAGGGGGAGGAGAATGGGGAGGAGGAGGAGGAGGAGGAGGAGGCTGGCCGAGGTGGGTCTGCGCCCGCGGTTGGCTCCTCGCCCCATGTCTAGGCCGGATGGTCGGCTTCGCTATGCGAACAACTCGAACTACAAGAACGAGATAATGATCCGCAAGGAGAGCCACGTCACGCAGGCGCGAAGCTGTGCGGCTCGAGCTGCATTGCCTGCTACTGTGGACAATGAGAGCGTCATGGCGCCAATCAGGACGTGTGTGTGTGTGTGTGCGTGCGTGCGTGCGTGCGTGCGTTCGTGCGTGCGTGCGTGTGTGTGCGTGTGTGCGTGTGTGCGTGTGTGTGTGTGTGTGTGTGTGTGTGAACGCTCCAAGCTGATGAACGCTCCAAGCTGATGAACGCTCGTTTGAGCTGATGACTTCGGCCACCCCTCCCTCCCCGCCCTGCGGGCTCCTGCCGCGTCCGCCTGGCGCCCGCTGCACGACGATGACGCCGTTCCGCTTGTGGGCACTTGGGACCGCAGCCGCTCTTCCGCCCGCCGCTGACGTCGTATCCGCTCCGCCAGAGTCCGACGACCTCGCGGCTCGGCACCCCCGCCCTCCGACCCGCTAGCTGGACGCCTCTGGCTGGCCTCGACGCTCCCTCCGTCCCCCCCTCACCACGTTGCCCAGGATTTTGAGTCGCTCCCGCTCTCTCGTTCGCGTTCCGCGTTCACTCGTGGGGTTTTCGGGTGCCCCCCGCTTTTTGACTTCGCGCGGTGCACTCGCCGTTGCTCAGAGCCAGGCGCTGTTCTTTGTCTCTTGTTGGGAAGTGCGTCTGTCTGAGTGTCTTCGCGTGTGCGACCATTAGCAGAGAGCTTTTCTACTGATTGCCATTAGAGATTATCGATTGCAGGAGCGCGCCTCGTCGAAGCCAGCACCGACACAAATGGCAGATCTTTTTTTCTTAACTATATCCCCGACACTTCTCGTCGGGAATGGTCAGATTAGCAAACGCAGCCGAACGCGTTTTTTCCACAAGGGCCCACGTGAGCACTGCATGATCAGATTCTTCCAACCACGTTCGTAGCATCTAACCACCCCATGTCTCGCAATACTCGTATCCCTTAAGAACCGCTTAGTATCGAGCGTATTTCTTGGTGCCAACCGCCCCGTGTCTCCGACAAATAAGCCAGCCGATTCGGTTGTTTCGGTTGTCAATGTATTTGACGATCCGCGCGTTGCGCAGCAGAGTTTCAGAATTGCTATCTTTGCTGCCTTGCCAGGTTGGTCTGTGGGAATGTAAGATTTTGAGCAGAGTCTGCCCAGGCTGTGATGCGGGAGCTCAGGAAGACCATCGAGGACAGCGAGATCCTAAAGGAGGACGACAATCACTGGCCTGCCCCAGACCGCGTGGGCCGGCAGGAATTGGAGGTGGTTTGCGGCAAGGACAGCGTTTGCGTTAGCTGTGTCTTGGGCTTCACATGTACTTTTGTTTTTGCATACGCGACTCAAGGTATATTGATATGCGCAGGTTGGCTTCGCGTAGCCAGTGTCCGTCGCATGTGTCATCAAGTAGGCGTGCGCATTTGTTGTAATATTGTATGCGCATCTGCGTGCGTGCACGTGAGCATGCCTGAATGCATGCTTGCATCTTCACACGAGGCACGCGTCGGCATTCTTACGAGCGTGCCTCTTGCGTGACGAGCTTCTGAAGCCCAGAGACGGGGTACAGTATGTTCGCTCCATGCGCGAGTTATCATCCCTGCTGGTTTATTGAACATGTTCCAGGCTCGACGCCATGGATGCAAGTGCAGGTCGACGCCATGGACTCCTAATTGCCCCAAACGGCTTGCTTGGGAACTTCACAATGACCTGTGTCGACCGTGGGTGTTCAGATGAGTCAGATTTCTGCAATGTATACTTCCATATCTTTTCGCCCAATGGTTCGCGTGTTTTTTGTTGTTTTCTTTCGATTCCCGAAAACATGGACGAGGTGCGCTGAATACAGTCTCACTTTAATGGTGTTGGGGTTTGCGTCGTCATTGTACTCGTCCACGATCGCTTCAACGTTGCTCGCGGAATTCCCTAGGTACAATGCCAGAATTTTACCAATGCGTATTTTTGCTTCCAGGTATTATCCTCTCATGGAAGACGCCATGATCAAGCATGTCTTTCCAGCTATGCAGTTGGCCCATGTTTTGACTTGAGATGGTAAGTTCACGCTTACACGTTTGTTTTCATAAACCTTGCCATGCTCATCCCAGATTTCCGTGTTCAGATTCACACTGCGTTTTGGCAGTGTTGCCGCAGAACACTGCAGGAATGACACTGTGCTAGTGCATGGCCGCACAGGAGCACATATCCTTCACGACCTCGAAGATAGGGTCTTTGGCGGACGTTCAGGCGTCCAAGGACCCCGAGGGCCTAAGGCGCCCCTTGCTGCTCGTCTCGCTGCCAGAGCGCTTGCCGCCGTTAGCCCAGCGAGAGCCCAGGATGCACCAGGGGGCTGAGAGCCTGTTGAAAGCAAACAAGCGGGGAGGGATCGCACAGGAACGCCCAACGGCCCAGCCCTGGCCTGCCGTTGTGCTGCGTCTTGGCCTTGAGCCAGCCAGTGTTCTCGCAGTCTCTCGTTTTGGAGTGCCCAGGGGTAGAATTCTGCTGACTATCATCGTCGCTTCGGAGTCCCGCACGGGTTGCGAACTCTTCTCGATATCCTCCACATGGTCTTCTTGCACCCTCAAGGGCTGGGGAAGTTCGCCGATGTGCTGGGCACTGCGCCGATCCCTCGGTGAGTCTCTGCACCTCAGTGCGGTCAGAATTGGGGCTTTATCATTGCGACCTCATACCCTTCCACCCTTGTCCCTCGTCCCCCTGCCTGTCATGGCGCCAACATCGCAGGGCGGATTTCGTGCGGACAACGATAGGATGGGCCTGGAGTGTCTCAGAGAATTTCGTTCCAGATTTCGAGGTGAATTTCGTACGGATGTTTGTGTTGGCCAGGAATGAAAACTCAGACAAAAACCACGCGAGATTCACATCGTATCTCACTCGCCGTTTCGGGGTCTTGTATGGATAGACATCCATGCAACACTCCGCCTGCAAGGTCGGTGCAATGATACCTGGTTGAGGGGCGCGATTCTCGTTGTGCGTGCGCAGATGCATCGCAAACCCAGGGTAAGCAAGTGAGCGCGCATTTGCACGCACTGCCCTGAACTTGGCATTGGCCTCCCCTCGGCGGAAGGCTTCGAGCACGCGCGCACGGCACCCTTGCTGTGCCCTGTCGGCAGGAGAAGCCTCAGCTTTGAGCTTTCGCTCTGGGGCGGGGCAGATGACGGGCCTCCTGGCCGACTAGGCGACGGGAACTCAGCTTGCCGCTCCGGGCATGGCTACTCTTTCGGGCCCCCACCGCGAGCGCGCGCGGGGGGACCCACTCCCACGGGGTCGAGCGGGTGGGCTCGGCGGATGCCGGTCCGCCCCCGTGCGCACGCCGTGGGCCGCTGGCGCGGCGGTGGACCCCGCGGCTGCTGACGCCGCTGACAGCGCCTCGGGGGCTGGGTAGCGGTCGTGCGATGGCCTGGGTACTCCAGACTTCGTAATAAAAGGGAGGGGGTCTGGACCCTCCCAGACAAGCTATTTCAGACCCCCCCCGTGGGAGAACCCTCCAAAACATCGTCCCCAGACCCCCCCAGGCCCTCCAAGATAGCCTGGAAGAGACCCCCCCGAAATGAGACCCCCCTCCCTTTATTACGAAATCTGGGGTAGCGGTCGTGCGATGGCCTGGGTAAGCGGGCTCTCTGGCAGAGCGCACAGACCAGTGGCCAGGTGGGCAGGGATCGTGGGCGGGCACGGGAGGTCGGGAGGCGCGGCCGCATCCGGGATCCGTGCCCACGGTTAGGGGAGAGATGTGCGTCCACCCCGGCGTGTCTCAGGGCCCGCTCAGAAACGCATGGTGAAGAAAGGGGGAGTGGCAGGGTTCGCGGCATGGTCAGCAGCGGAGGGACAAGCATGCGGTCGACGAAGCCCAGCACCGTGGCGCCGTCGCGCCCGCCGGGACGAACGGCGAAATTTGTTGGCTCGGAATGATGCGCTATACCCGGCAGGGCGAGGGCTCGGCCTTTAATGCCTGGCGGAAGCTGGCGGAAAGACCTTGACTTCAAGATGCAGGAAGAAAGAAGTGGCTTCGCTCGTGTGCTTTATGAATGACAGCACTTCACGTCAAGACATGACTCACGCGGTCTCCTAGGGGTCCTCTCCGACAGTCAATTTTTCGGTGCTGACCCCCAGGCTTCGTCCTCCCTCCAGCCAGCTCTTGCTTCCCCTCAAGAGTTTGCTGCCGAGGGTGTTCTATTACCTGGTCCAGGACCTGAAGTGCTTCGTCTTCAGCCTGATAGGTCCGGGAGCTCCTGAAAGTGAGCCCGTCGGGGGGAATTGTTGCACCCGCCCTCCCTCAACATCACATGGCCACTTACGCCTGTTTCCTCAGGGCGATGTAGGGGCGACGTGGTCGGGAGGGTGTGGACACGAAGCCATACTGATACCTTTAGTCGTTGTGCTCTCGCAGGGGCCTTTTTGGGTCACCCGGGCATGTCTGGGGGCCTGCTGGGGGCCAGTCGCGGCCTGGCGCTGTTGCCAAGGGGGTGAAGGGCGAGAAATGGGATGGGGGAGCGGACTCGGCTGTGCATAAGTTATCTAGCACTGGACAGTGATTGCCAAGAAGGGGTATCGGCCTCTTCGTGCCGTTTTGACCATCTACGTGTTCCCCTGACAGTGGCCGTCTGGAAAACATGCAGGGGCGGGCTAGGCGGGATGGAGTAGCTTGCATCAGGGAGGCCATCTCGGGGCGTGTGCAGGGGAGAGTGGTGCAATTCTTTTTGGCTATGCTGGCCTCTTGGGTGTCTCGGAGCCGTCTTCGACTGGCTTGGGCTCATCCGGGAGGTCTCGAGGCCGTCTTCGAGCCGTCTTGGAGGTCGCTTCAAGTGGACATGCCAGCTCCCACCACTCAAGAAATATTGTCCGTGGCGTGGCATTGCTCAGCACACGATATGGTTTGTTGATTGCAATACCGATGGGTGGTTTTCAACCGCTTATACATCCAGCGTTGGTTAGTTCATCCAACTTGCCTCAGCAAGCCTCAGACGAGCACGCAATGTAAACTTATGATCCAGTGCAGCAGACGCTTCAGTCCCGACTGGCAGGCAGTGCCCACATATATGAAATGATACGTCTATTATCTACATGGTCAGTTCTTAAACTCACAGCGATATAACGACGATCGCGATGAAGGCAACGATACTGCAACCATTCCGAGGAGAGTGGAGGAGTAGGAAGAGGAGGAGTAGTATAACCAGTGTATGCCCAATATCCATCAACGATGTTGCAAGAACCCCGCCCTCCAAGCTCACTCTTCATAGGCCCCAACAGAGGTTCATTTCCACTGATGGAAGTGCCCCTTTTGAAGACGACCGTATGAACAGCCTGAACTGTGCCAGACAGAACACCGTTCTTAGGACTTCAACGCCACGAATCAACCTTATTGTTGCGTCTCGACGATCCTGACTTGTGCGAGAACACCATTCCTGGGACCGCAGCACCGCGAATCCACGTAATTGTATGGCCCTGACAGTCCTGCACTTCTCGAAACCACCACTTCTGGGACGATCGCCATGAGAGTCCGTGAAACTTTTCTATATTTTTTCACACGGGTATGCGAATCGCTAAGGCGAGAGTTATGTTGTTACCACTGTACTTGAGGACCACATCCCAAACATTTCGAGCAACCCGGAAAGTATCGTCGCAGTGTCAGCTCGACACGTTGGTGAAGTGCCGAACGAATATCTCCTCCCAGGGCCCGAGACGTAAAAACCCTACAGTTTCGATACTTATTTGGTGATCGACATTCTTTCTTGTGATCAAGGCTAAAGTAGGTCAGAACTTCATAAGGCGAGAGCCAAGTTTAAAACAATAATGCCCTCCATCCGTGAAGCTCTTACAACATTTTGAGACGAGTGTGCGCGGCACTATCGCGAGAGCCGCATTTTGAAAACAGGCCGCCCTCAATCCGTGAAACCTTTGCACATGTTTAATACGAGTGTGCGCGGCGCTAAGGCGAGAGCCGCATTTTGACAACGGACCGCCCTCAGTCTGATACTCTTGCATTTTTTTGAAACGAGCGTGCGCGGCGCCAAGGCGAGAACCAAAATTCGAAAACAGACCGCCCTCAATCCAGGATCATCAATGGTAAGGAGTTCTTAGGCGAAACGCCTGTCCCGCCCTCCCGACTGGCCTCGGGGTGCGACGGGGAGGCATTACTCACAAGGAGAAGGAATGGATCAGGAGGAGAAGGATGAGGTGGAAGAGGAGGAGGACGGAGGAGGAGGAGGAGGACGGAGGAGGAGGAGGAGGTCGGAGGAGGAGGAGGAGGAGGAGGAGGAGGAGGAGGAGGAGGGAGAGGACGAGGATGATTGATCTCCCCACAGGCCTCCACTTCCGCATAAAGCCTGTATAGTTTTGCCTCTGGGCGGGAGCTTCTACCTGCTTGTCGCAAAGCTCAACTCGGCTGCACCAGGCCGCCCGTTGCCGACTGGAGTGGATGAGCAGTTGATAGTTGGGGCCCACGGACAGGGGAAGTTGCTGGGGAGAGCTCGTCGAGAAGCGCAGCAGAGGTGATGGGGACTTGGCAGTGGCTTACCCCCGTGGGTGGCATCTCTGGCTCGTCCTGTTTCGCAGATCTTCCAGATACAGGACAGCTGTACAGTGAGCGGCTTGAATAAGGAGCACGAACTTTTCAAAAGGGGCTCCGCTGTTCCTCAGGCTTGCATGCGTTATTCATCGCCCCCTATACGTTATTGATTAGTCATCGTTCCTTATGCGTTACTCCCTGGAGAAAAAAGTCGGCGTCCCCCCAACATACTTATACTATGTGTTCGTCGCCCCCCCCAGGGGCGACGCGCGCACCGAGAAATCTTGTAGTATACGCGTCGTGGCGGGCGCTTTCTGGCCACACCGTTCGAGAAACGATGTATACTACAGGATGGGTATACTATATGGTTCGGGTCGGACGCGCGCCTCCAAGGCGGACATATAGTATTAGTGTGTCTCTGTGCGTCCCCAAAAAGGGGCTTCGTTCCTTATGTATCGTTCCTTAGGTCAGGCCGATGGCAGCAGAAGGGGGGCAGGGCTGTGGCCGAGAAGGCACAAGGGGCGACGGCGGGGTGGCGGAGGGCCTCCTCTTCCACCGTCCTCCTCTGCCTCCGCTGGAGCAGGAGGGGGAGGAGGAGGAGGAGTTCGAGGAGGAGGAGGAGTTCGAGGAGGAGGAGGAGGAGGAGGTGGAGGAGGAGGAGGAGTAGGAGGAGGTGGACGAGGAGGAGGAGGAGGAGGTGGAAGAGGAGGAGGTGGAAGAGGAGGTGGATATGAGGCGGAGTGGGCGGGGGGGAATGAAAATAAGCTGGGGGAACCGGGGAGGGGGGAAATTGTAGCAGTATGACGAGGTTCCTCAATTGCTCCTCAGGCAGCTTCAATCTGCACGATTCCCCATGACCATTCACGGGAGTTGGACGCTAGCCTTCGCTGGTTTGGACCCCAAACAGAGATTCTGTCCAACATATTGGGCGCAGTCTCGCCGGCACGACCTATGCGGCGCAACCAATCATGCAACACATCGCACCCCGCGCAACATACTCGGACCCCATCACGTAGGGAAGTTTCCTGGAGCGCCACCAGCAAGAACCCCTCGAGTGCACGCGCCGTTTGAGGAAAACCAACGTACTACCACACTATTGTGGCCGTTCTGCGCCTTGTGGCCATGTCATGACAGGCTCGTGTGTGGGGGGTTAGTTCTTGGGCTTACGCCACACCGCCGACCCCTTGGGGGGAAGAAGTGGTGCGTCGCTGGGTGTGTGTTTGCGGGTTTCTGTGGGCTCCTCCAGGGGTTTTCGGCTGGATGCGAGGACGGCGGAGGAGCGAGGAAGGAAGGGTCTTCATGGCATCCAGCCAGCGCGACTGGGTCGTGGTTCAGGGACCTTAAGGATGTGCGTTAAGATCACGAGAGAAGCCTCTCGGATACCTCTGTGAGACAGTTTGGAGGCCTCTGGGGGATTGACTTGGGCCCTCTTGGGCCATCTTCTGGGCGTCGTGGGTGCGCCTGCGGGGGCTCGAGGGGCCTCTCGTGGAGCTTTTAGGGTCTCCAAACAGGTTTTTCTGGGGGGCGGAGAGCTAGAATGTTCAGTTCGTGGTTCCCTTCCTGGGCCTTCTTTGGGCGCTATGAGGCTGCTTTGAAGTTCAGTTGGGTCGTCCTGGGGCCATCGTGGGCTGTCTAGAGGCGAGCTTGGCGGTCTCTTGAGTCGTCTGGAGACGGTGTTGGAGGCTTCGTGGGCCGTCTTCAAGCGTCGGAAACCCGAGAAGGCTGGAAGGCCAAGAATCTCAAAAAAACAAATGCAAATCAAGCCGCTTCGAGACCTCTTGGGGCGTCATGCAGGCATCCTGGGCCGTCTGGAAGCCATCTTGGGCGTCTTGGAGCATTGCTTCTGCGACTCGGGGCCTTCTTGGACCGTCTTGGGGACGTCTCGGGGTCCTCCTGTCCCGTTTCGAGGCCGTCGATGCCGCCCTGGCAAAAGTGCTGGAGCAATGTATCCCCCCAGGACGGCCCGATTAGACCCCCCCTTCCAAATCGACCTGGTCCGGCTCCCGGAGGAGGGGTTTGGGGAGGGGGAAGCATCTCACACGCCGATGATCCCCAAGGGGTCGGCGGATCCCGCCATCCTTGGGAGGCTCTGAACTGCGAAATGCGAAATTGTCGCCATTCCCGTGGCTCCTGACCTGGGAGGACCAGTGGAAGGGATCCGTCGCCAATGGGCCGCCAGGACGCCCCCCCCCCCGGGCGACCGCGCACCTCTGAGCACGTTGACAGTGGGGCCCGCTGTCAAGGAGCCCTCCGGCCGCCCCCCCTCCCGACCGCCCGTTCCGAGCACGCTTGGCAGTGGGGCCCACCATCTCAACGGGCGTCCAGGCCCCCCGCCCCCGGGACGCGCTCGGGCCGCGAGCGGCGGCCCTCTCCTTGGATCCGTGGACAGCGGGTCCCACTGTCAAGTGGGCCCCTGTGGGACCCCCCTTTGATCCGTTGGCAGTGGGGGGCAACTGTCAAACGGGCTACCCAGGGCCCCCTTCTTGACACGTGTTGGCCCCCCAAGGGCTCCCCCCCCCCCAGGGCCCCCCCCTCCCCCCAGGCCCCCCCTGCAATTGTTGGAGATGTTTGGAGTAGATTGTGGGGCCGTCGTGGTGTGGTCGTGGCAAAGGAGATGCAGCGCGAGGGAAGGAGGATGTGGAGGGTGGTAAGGGTAAAAGAAGAGGGAGCAGGAAGAGGAGGAAGGAGGGGGGGACGGAGGAGAAGGTGGAA